CCAATATTCAGTAAAATGCCGCCAATTCAAATGATTTGATCATGTCTCAAAACTGTCACAGCTAAAACTCTACTATATCGTCAAACACAATCTGAAACTAAGATCTGAACGAGAAGATCTGTTGGCCACCGGAAGCTAATTTTTAAGGACAATGTTTCTGAGATATCAAAAAAAAAATGGAAAAAACGATAGACGAAAGAGTAATTACGCGAAGCCATCTACGATGGAAAAAGTTTTTCATAACTCACCCCAAGTTGAGGAAGAGACTTTAATTATACAATTGCGAGTATTGCCTATACAATGTTGAGCAGTATTAAAGTGAATAAACATTTCATAAGTAACTCGCTGTTCTTCGGTGTTCAACAATCTATCTCATTAGAATTGATTACCCGAGTTTTAACTCTTTGATTTAAAAACTAATGTAAATGATGTTAGGTCTATTACACTTCACAAAATATAAATTCCTAATTTGTCAAATACGCTCTCAAATGGTATCCATTAGGTAATAGATGATCTAGAGTCTCATCAAAGGCCCAGAAAAAATATTTGACACTAAGAGTATATATATCTTCGTATCTTCTAACTCCATTTGGCATGACATCTGCATAAGGTGTAGAACGGAACACGATTTAAATGCATTCCTAATTGTTTATTGATGGAAAAAAAAATTTGATTGAAATTAATTTGTAATTAATAATTTCGTAGACCGACTTTTCGGTAACAATTTTATTGTCAATATAAGTGAATCATATACATATATCACACAGTTGTTGTCATTTTGTAGATTGAAGGTGCATACCGAGTTCTCTTTAAAAACTCGATGGCTAGGATGCTCAGGATTCATGTTAAATATACTGTTACATGTGTCAGAAATCTATTTATAGAGGTATCCAAACTCCTAACTGATCTTACCAAAATAGGGTACCATAAACATGAATAGGTTTAAATATGGCTATAAAACTTCAGTACTAATTAATTGACATCATTTCAGACGGACTTCTAAAAGAAAATTTTGGAATATATTTCTGAAATGTGTAATATGTTAAGCTATCATGTCATATGGTGAATATATAATATATTCTAATAATATACTTCTAATAATAATTAATTTATTTAACTCTTTCTATATTCATTTGTTAAAATTTTTTAACACCTAATATACAGCATTTGAAAACGATTTATAGTAGAGCGTACTACTCTTCGGTTTTAATGTTAAATTCAATTATTTATATAACTTTTTGACTTTCCATCAAATTAATTAGCAATTTAGTTAAATTACCATTTCAAATTGGTTATTGTAATTCTAATTTCAAATTCTTCAATTAGAAAACAAGTGTTTTATACGCTGGCTGACTTAATGGCGTCAAAGCTAAACCTCATAAGTAATAAATTATTCATTTCAATTATCAATATAATTATATAAATAATATATTATTAATATTGTAACATATTAGTAATTTTCTATTTTTAATAATCATAACTATAATTTAAGTTTATCTTAATAAGTTGATAATGAATTGTTTATATTTTTATAAAAATCACGTTCTTTTTAACTGGTATATAGTAAAAAAAATAATGGTCTTATATAAATTAAATGAAACTTTCAAAAAGGAAAATCATTTTCTGATGTGATGGATAATAGTTTCATTTTCCTTTACTAATCCACAGTTGCAACACTTGTCTGTGAAGGAAGCCATTTTCTGGTTCTGCGAATGGCAAACAACTACATGTATAGAAAGTAGACCAGGAGTTGTAATACTAACTATTTTCGACGGCTTGTAACACTCATCCAATATCATTTAAGATTCATGTGTGCCTTTTTCACTCAATATTTTATGGCGAGAGAACACCTATGTACCATCTCGTCGTTTATATATAACGACGTTACGTATATACCAGTAACGTCGTTTAGACACCATACTCCCCGTCATGAAAAACTACATTTTGAAACTAATCATACTTTTAATAAAGGAGGTTATGTTTTAAAAATCTATGTTTAAACTATTCGCCGGACTTATTATTAGGCTTTCATATTGTTATGTTATGTCTTGCCAAGCATGAAACTTTTTTTCTCTGTAGCTGTTGCATTTCTAGTGGAAAGAGGTACTCACCATGAGTACCCGCTGATCCGTGGCATAACAGGGTTACCACGGGGCTTGTCACTTTAATCTTGGCGTTTTCCAGTAGAGTTTTTCTTTTCTATATACTGTAGCTTGGCCATGTTAGTGTGATTTTTTTGCAATCTACACATGTCAAGCTAATACATTGGTGACCTGGAATCCAGATGAATGATATTGTGCCCCGATTACTGACTGAATAAAATTAAGTATTACATTGCTTTACTAGTTCTGATTTTGTGCACTGGCGTGAAAATGATAATTCTGTTGTTGAAAAAATTTGTGATCGACTGATTTTAAAAACTTTTTGAAATCATATGATTTAAGCTTCAAAAGACGAGTACGCAATATGAATGGATCTCCATATATTCTTTTGAACTAAAAAATTTCTTATGTTTTCTCTGTATATTATCTTTGAAACGTCTGAGAAGGTTTGATAATCTCAGTACGCTGTGTTAAAACCTTTTTTCGTTCTTATTTTTCTCTTCATTTAAATATTATATTAAATGATGTCAGGAATCCAATTTCGATGTATAGATAGGGCGTGCCTATTATCAAATTATGTGCTAGTTATTACAATTCGGTTTGGTTTTTCAGGATCAATACTCTTGCAGTCTAACAGCTGACATTGCGGCACTGTTTTTAATCTGCAGTTCTTTCGGCATTAAGTTGAGAATGACGAGAGAGGGGCAAAATGCAAAATATTGGTTGTATAACTGCAGTATACAATCACAGGATAATTTTTGAAAGAAGACCTTGATTTCATCTAATTACCATCTAATTCATCTAATTTTATAGAAGCAATAATATATGCATGCTTTTCTTACCCGCTCTTCAACGTTTGTTTTACAATTAAATCTCACATTCCAGCATGACGTCTAGATATATAGCCTGAGGGGATAGCTTTAGATGTTGACCATCTAATTTTAGTAACTCGAAGGATGATACACTAGTTTTAGTAGTGAATACCAATAGCACTTGCGATTTATATTAAGTGCTGTTTTAGTTGATCTTCCTTTCCTTTATGCTGAACCTCAAATATATTTTATACCTCTAGTAAATCCCGAAAATGCACTTTCAAACAGTCTCTCAAAAGTTTAAAGGATATTTTCGTAAATACCGTTGAGAATGAATGGTACCCCAACCCGTTCTAGGGGCTCGAAATTTATAACTATACAAAAACTTGAAATAAAAATCTTTAGAATTCTAGGTTCTTAAGATAATTTCGCTTTTTGTGACCATCTACGAAAGTTCCTACGAAAGTTATTATCAAAAAGTTTGTATAGAAAACAGTAATGATGAAAATATAAATGATCGTTGTAATAAAAAAATCTTTATAAAAAATTGAACACAACTACTAATATTAGTTCGATGTTGTGAAAGACTTTATTTATTTGAATTGCAATATAAACAGCAAATACATCAACATAGAAATTCTACGAAGAGTCACTCTTGTTAACAGTTGTTCCTTCAGGCTAAGGGAAATAAATCCTTCTCTCGACAAATAAAAATCGCGCACACAAGTCTGGTATCATGCCTGTCCACCTGTATGGCGCAGAAGCTTACACAATTACGAACAGTGATGAGAAGACGTTAGGAGCATTCAAGCGAAATATTATTTAGATTGGAAGATCTATTGTTCCTTATGCGTTAGCAACGCGTATCAAATTAGATGAAACGATGAATTTTATAGTATAAGCTAAACTGTGATATTGGTATAGTAGCAGCTTCGTTGGCTTGATAATGTTGAGCGAATCGAACAAGCCTGCCTCGGTATGAAAGGTGAGTGACTGGTGAAAAAAATGGTAAAAGACAGTTGCATTTTCGGTGGAAGAACCGAGTGATCAATGGTATAAGGGTACTCGGTACTTCCAACTGGAAGCAGTAAGCAAGTGATGAAGCTGGCTGGAGGAGACTACTGGATGCGAACAAGGACAACTCGTGTCTGTAAAGGCTAACTAATGTGATGTAACTTAACGACACTCACGCCTTGAGTGTATTTTTGGACATCGGCTTTAGGAACTCTAATCTAGTAAAACTACGAATCTGTGGGATCTATCTGTGGCTTTGACTAATCAATGTTACTTACTCGCTTATCTAAGTATGTGGTTTTTAAACTTCTAAGTTTCGTCTACGGTAACACAATGGGCCAATAGATGGTTCCATAAGTGATTTCTTAAGATCGCTGGTTTAATGTAATTAATCTACCAAGGTATATGCATAAGCCCGTGTGTAAAATTTAAAACTACAGCAATTAATATTAATTTAATTATTATTAATTAATTGAATTAATGATTGAATTCTTTATTAATATCTTAAGATGTTGTATTTGTACACCTTGCTATATTAATTAATAATTATAAAATATTTATTATACTTTTTTATGCTTCTTTAAGTTTATTGAAGTGTCATTAGGCATTGTGCTAAATGGGTACAAGCAAATTTAGCTTAAAAGTCTTGAGGTGCTAAAAAATATTTGTTCCACACACTTCAACTGCCGAACATTGGTTTTGTTTTTTGTTTTGCTGCTCCACCGTTTGGTATGGTAAGCATAAGAACTCGTTCTTAATATCAAACTCAATTCCAATGAAATTGGTTTGATATAACAAAGAAAAACAAAACAAGCAACCAGAAAATGAAAGAGGAAAAACAAAATCAGTAACAACAAACATTTTCCCCTCGTAATTTAATGGACGGCGGATGGCAATCTATAACAGTTCGTGTTGCTGCAGCACTGTATGAAGCAACCAGCCGACAAGCAAGGAGAGAAAACAAAATATATATGTATATTTTTGTTGTTTGTGTACGCCAGTATTACTTATTTTTATTTACACATTGGTTTGCACTACATAAGCAACAACATAGCACAAGTTTGAATCGAACCAACTTGTGTATTCGCTATGCTGCATGTTATGTTGTTACAGAGGAGCTTGTTGCGAGCAATAACAATTTGTGGTATATGAAGAGAAAATTTAGAAACATTACTCAGTTTGTTTTCATTTTGCTTAGTCGTTGGACGTGTTGCGGAATTTTCGTTGCTTATTGCCTTTAGTACCTGGTTTCGCGTACGCAATCGTTGACGACTTGTGTTCATGTTGTTACAGTAATTCACAATTTACAATTATTAAATAAATATTGTAATATTTTTAAATGAAAATTAAAAGAATATTGAATTGAAATATATGTGTATAAACACAAAAGCTACAGAAAAATACATTTTCAAGTGCGCCTTAGTGTCTTCTTTTTTTGTGTACAAATAAATTGATTAAAACACAACAAAAATTTTATTTAAGCAAACAGAAATCCACAAACAAAATCCAACTCGAACAATTTTTTGTTATATTTTGTGTTTTTTTTTTATTTTGCTTTCCTTCTGAAGCATTATTTTTGTTTGCTTTCTATTGTACGTGTTGTGTATATATTGACGTCTAATAACTGAAAAAAAAAACAAAAACGAAAATATACTAAAATCAAATAATATAAAATATTACGTTAAATTGTGTTTTATATTGTGTAAAACAAAAACAAAAAAAGAGATGCAATTAATAATTTTTACTTATTTTAATATAAAACAACAACAGAAAAAACAGCAGTTGACGGTGAATGCTGTATTGCGTACTGCCTGCACTTGACAAATCAAAGGAAAACCTTAATTGAAATGCTTTGATATAGAGAATAAAAATATCTTCAATAAATAAAGAAGCATATTTTATGAATGAGTCAAATAATTTGGTGAATATATATTTTTAAAACGAATAAATTTTAAATCAAAAATTGTGTATGCTAAAAATAAAATACATTTATAAAAACATACAGTATAAAAATATACATACATAAGTAATGTATAAGTATTTTAAATATACAAATGAAAAAATAAATTCTATGCAAAAAAAAACATTAAATTAACAAATCTAAAAAAAATTGACAAAATTTTCAAACAACAAAAATAAAAACAATTCATAAGCGAAAGCAGAGTGCATCATATCTAAAAGAAAAACAAAAGCATCAAATTATGCTTTTATTGGTTGGATTTGCTCCCCCATGGATTAAATTTCACCTGATTTGTATCGCCACCTTTCGCCTGTAATTATACTCGACGTGATCACGCGCTCACACCACATGACACCGCATAGCAAGATCAAAACACAGCATAGCAAAGCTGCGCAAACTTCTGCAAAAACACTGTAACCACCAGACAGGCTCCCAAGTTAGCGCGCTTAGAAGAACTAATAATCAACCATACTGCTGCATACAAATTACCAAAGTTAAAACAACACAAACAACAAAAACAAAAATAAAAAAATACCCAAAAGCATAGTAAAAATTTTGCCAGGAAATAAATGAGATGAGAAGTAATAAGAACTGCGAAAGAGGAAAGAAGAGCATATAACAAATAACAAAACTAAAACTGAAACAGGCAACAGGATTAAAATTTATCACTCTGTTAAAACAGTGCTGCAACAACAAAAATACTACAACAACAGCAACAACAACAATTGTTAGTGTCGCCAGCTTGACCGAAGCCTTATACAACATTTACATCGTCTGCTCCATTGGCGTCAACGTTACCTCGTTTCTACTCTACTGACGACGACGGACGACGACACGTTTTCAGGCTCCCGCATATATCGCGCATAACCAACCATTCAGCAAATACACAAACGATCATAAACGATTGAGTTGCGATTAATAGCTTTTGGCTTTTTAATTTTGTATTGCCTTTGCTGCCTTGCGTCCAGCCACTGCATCATCATCATCATCATTATTAACATCATCACGGGCAAGCGTTGCATGTTTGAGAGTTTGTGTTTGTTATGCAGTTGTATGTTGCACTCTATTGTTGTAACGAATAAGAAGTAAAAATTATAAGTAGTAGTAGAAGCGGAAGAAGAAGAAGAAGAGAAGCAGCAACAGCCTTAGAGGAAGCAAACCTTATTTTTCCTTTACTCTTTTTTTTTTGTTTGATATTTTGTTTGTTGCTATAAAAGATTTTCACAATATATCTACTAACGTAGCGCATTCAACACTAAACATAATCAACCAACAAATAACATCATTATTATTATCAAAATCATAATCAACGTATTGTTATTGTTATATCCTTCCAATTATTTTGTGTGTTAAAATCACTGCAACAATTTATACAGTTGCGCTGATTTGAGTTGAGTTATTGAAGATATGTTTGTTGTGTTATTGAATACTGAGTCTTTGCAATAAGCCACCAAATATCTACAACCAACTAAATCAACTAAAGGTTCAACACCAAAAACAGTAAAAACAGTAAAAAGGAAATATAAAAGTAAAGGAGAAAAATTCTAAAAACAAAATAAAAATAATAATATTACAGAAAGAGAAAAAATAAATACAGAAAACATTTATTATACAACCTGCAAATCTACTACCAACTAATATATTGTCGGTAACAAAGTTTAAAGCGCGTCACAAGCAACAGCAACAACAGACAACAACAACTAAATACCAGCCACAACACATCAACCAACAACAACACCAACAACAGTTTTAAGGTTATATGTTTTAAGATTCTCTCCTTTGCATCACAAGTGTTTTGTGTGCTACGATTTTTGTTTGCCGCTCTTGATTGTGTTTTCCTGAAAAGCAAAAGCGCAAGGTAAAAACAAAAACAACACCGAGTTTGCAGACATGGCGCCGAAATCCAGAAAGAAGAAGGCTCATGGTAAATAATAATAATAATAAATTTCTGTATTGCTTTTTTATATGCATTTTATGATTTCGTGTTTTTTTTGTTGTTTTTTTTTTTTCTTAAATTTATTTTGAATTCTTATAAATCAGAAATATATATATTTTTTTCTATATTTTTTTATATTAAATTCTTATATAAAAATTTTAAAATTTTAAAATTTTTGAACATTTCTTAATGTATGCCAAGTTATAATTTTATTCTCGAGACGTTTATTATTTTTCCTTTTTTTAATGATTAAGATTGGAATGAAGTTTCCCAACATATTGCTATGATCCAAAATTTCTGACTGCCAAGAGATTATTTGCAATAAATAAAATGTATTTCCTCTTTGGAATGGAAAATATAAATTAATTTAATCTTTTTGAAATTCAATACATAAACATGTTTTTTCTATACACATATTTTCTTCAAAAACACTACAAGATGTAATTCTTTGGTCTAACAAACCAAAAAAAAAATATCAGATGTGATGGTAACCATTTTCACTATAACATTAAGATACTCGTACAATGGTCAAAAAAAAAATTTTACAAATTTTCAGTTCAAAAAGAAAATATCTTAAAAATGGTTCATTCATATAACTCAAGTCATATAACAGTTATAAGTTCATATTATATTTGAATATGATGCTGTCCTCCAAGTTGGAGCGTCAAGTCTCTGTTAGCAATTTAAATCGATCAATGTCCTTTCATAAATAATTTGCATGCTTTAATTCACGTTCCACTGTTCTCCTCTAAGTTCGGTGACCGGTCGTCTAGAATCGTGTGATTTCAATTCAGTGTCTATTGAACAATGTTATTCTTTAGCATTCTTAGAATACGACTTAATTGAACCCATTTACGTTTCTGAATTTCTTCGGTTACTATAGTTTGTCCTGTCCGAACACACAATTCGATATTAGATATTTTCTAGGTCAATCACATTTAAATCGTATGATATATGTTTCACTGTTCTATTCTAAATTATGGTACTGTAATTAAATAATGGCTCGATTATTATTTGTAAAAACTTTGTTTCTTTTTTTAAAAATTGGTTTTTGTGCAAAATTATCCTATATCTCCATGATGTTTAAAGGATTAGATTTACGTATGAGCACCCACCGATTAGGACCTTAAATGTTCAAATTTTTCTCCGATCAATACATTCATTTTTGCTCTGATTTTTTGAGTGTTTTGTTGGTTCTGATTTTTAAATGTCAATATTCGTTTTCCGATAATTATAAAGTATATAGATTTCTCAAAAATTTATAGTATTTATTTAAATAACAGCGCACAAAAACTTATTGATTGTTAATTATTTCAATTTATAAATATGATAAATATATTTATTTCCTACATAGCTATTTAGATTTAGCGAATATGTACTAAATATTTATTTTAAAAATATCTAAAATCACAAGTCGAAGTCTATAAATTTCTTTTTAAACTTCAAGTTACAGAAACGATATTGTAATATGGTAGCTGTAAAATGCATGAATGTTTTCTTTATTTCCTTTATATATATTTAGTGAAAGATATTATTATTTAGTCAATTCTTAGAAGTTCCCTTTAATATTTTATCATGATTGAATTTTCTAGAGATAGAGGATACTATTGTAGTCTGCTCGCTTTTTTTTTAATTCTAAAAATGGATAGTAACTATCTTTCTTATCAATTTATATTGTACATCCTTATGGTCTGAAAACCTCTTAATAATAAATGCACAGATTAAAAATAGTAATTGTTCCTTGTATCTATATCATTCTATAATTGAAATTGGTCATCCAACCATTGCTGACATTAACAGTAATGTGGTTCCGTGCGAATAGTAATGATTCCATGCGATAGGAACGTTGCGCTGTTGCTGTTTCCAAAACCATTCGTATAAAGCTCTCTTCATTTTTGGGTAATCAATGTTTTTAACGTATTCTTGAAGTAAACGTTGTTTTTTTTTTAATTCTGCGTATTATCGATTTATTGACGTCGTATTCTTGACAAACCTTAAGCAAAAACATAGAAATATTTCTATGTTTTTGCCTTAAGTGCCTTAACCGACACTTCGCATTTTATTTTATCTTAAATGCTGACATTTTGCGTTATTGTCGCGTAAATATTTTAATTAAAGGTGTCACTAATAAAAACGTTACTTACACACCCCAAAAAAAACTATCGAATGATAATTTGCGGAAATAGGTTCCAAGAAGGATAGATAGCAAAAATATATATAGAATTTTCCATTACCAAGCAAAGAAGTTGCAATTATTAAAATCAAGAGTTTAAATCAAGAGTTACATTAAGTTTCCTAAATAGATTCTAGTAATTCTAGTAATACCACAAAAAATAATTTCTGGCGTTTATAAAATGCCAATCGCTGAACTATGTTTTAGCTTTCCAACGTCTAATAATTTTATTTTTTAAATTGTAATTATTATATCAAGCATAATGTTGTAAGATCGAACATATGAAAAATGTGAATGGGAGCATCATAACGTAGTGTATTAGGTAATTAGCATCCGATGATAGATAATTGTATCTTTAGCCTACTGACTCAAATGTCCAGTCGTAAGATTATAGCCCATATCCAATGTATTACACGATTTATATATCAGACATACCAATAGCATCCTGGTATAGTGAATATCAGTATGAAAGAAAAATTACACAGAAAGAAAATAGTTTATAAAACCAGCTTCAACTATATTTTTAGTATGTAATTTGTTGCTATTCAGAAAAGAAGAAAATATATTGAATTTATTTTTTTCATGTGTTGTGTGAAATCTGGAGTCTTCTCTTATCTAAGGCCTGTGTTATGTTGAGTGTTATGGGCACGTCAAAATTGGCTTTTTCAGACTATGAAGAAAATCTATGTAATGCAGAGTGTCACATCATCAATTTTTACTATTACTTTCGTACTTTTTGGTTGTGTTTAAATTTTAAAGGAATAGAGAGTAAAAGTGCTCAAGTGCACTGACTCAACTAGCCTCAACATAATAATAATATATATACATATATACAACACGGTTTAGACTGAGTGACGAGGCACAGATAGCCTTAGCCATTCATGACCGAATTTTAATCTACATTTGTTTTTATCTCTCACTCTCAAGTTTTGAATTTGCATTGAAAGCAACAACAATTTTGATTTTGACTTGCCCATAATACTCTACATAACAAGGGCCTAGAGATTATAAATATTTTAACTAATGTTTGCACAGTTAGATAGATATAAGACTGACTTAGAGAAATCATAATGAAATGAAAAGAAAACGCCCGGATCTTCTACTGTTACGAGAACTATAATAATTTTCTAGCGATGTCTTCAGATTTCTTCAGTTCCTCTGAATTCTGAGAACTAATTACGATTTAATATTTTGAATTTTTTTTACCATATTCTTTATCTCCGTAATTAATAAAGTAAAAACATATTAAATTTAATTAAAATAAGAGAAAACTAATTTCAAAATTAAATTAGTTTTTTAAATATTGAAAAATTCTTTTTATTTTTTAAACTATTTTTATGTGTAGTAAATATATATTTATTGGCATTTATATAATTCTTTACGTTACTGGTGTTCCAGCCACGCCACTTTCTATATTAACCATGCCGAATGTTCGTTAATTTGTTTTCCATTATTACCAGAACTCTAATGATATACTTTGCCATGCCCTGACAGAGACTCTATCTACTAATATTTGTGTTATATATATATATATATATATATATATATATATATATAAATATTTTAAATAAATTAAAAATGAAAAATGAAAAAATGTAGAAAATAACCGTAAAAGCTGAAATAGTTTAAAGCCCACGGGAAAAAGTTACGTAAAAACCCAAACGTATCTTGTTGAAAATATCAACGGAACGATATTAGAATTTTAAAGAAATGCAAAAACAATAAATGAATTTTAAATGAAAATAAATAAGAGCTAAAAAAATAAGTGAAATGTTAGACAAGTTAGCATACGGCCTGGACGGACAGACAATGGTTAGCATATTCACAAAAACAACACAGCAAATGTGCGCTATGTCCAACCGCCAACCGCAATGTATCTGCCGCAGCAAGAAGTATCTACGAGTATCTGTAACCAAAAAATCAAATCGAAGATTTTAAATTCTAAACTGACCGTCGCATTTAATTTGATTTAATTTTTTTGAATTTTTTTCTGGTTTTAAATTTTGGTAATTAGCTGTATCAGTATTGGCGGCTCCCTTGGCTTGAACTTGTAAGAATTGTTATTGTTGTTCACCATGAAAATTTGGTACTTCTTACACATGTGTGGACATGAGATTCACATATATGTACTTAAATATGTCTTACGTTAGATATTTTATACATTTTTTGTTTTTTTTTTTTATTTATACGAAACTGGAATTTGTAAAAAGTTTTCTACGTTTTTGGATTTGTAAATTTTGCTATTTAAATGTTTTTGTTAGAAGTTTTGTAAAGAAGAACATAAAGTCCAAATTTAGTATGTTTTTATGAGTATGTAATATTTTTGTATAGTGCACGAAAAAAGTATCTACGTTTCTTGCATGATAAGCTTTATTTATTTTATAAATAGTTAAAATGTTTAGTTTATTTTTTTTTTTTATAAATACTTCCATATGTTTATTTTACTTTAAAATTTGAATAGTCCAGACACTTCATATCTTATATCGTAATTGTTTATAATCAAATATTTATCTTGAAGACAAATAAATATATAATTTGAATTTTTTCGAAACCGTGTGAATTAAACAAAAATATTTCTGCAATTTTAGAAGTTTAGTCTAGTTTTTGTTTATTATTTTATTTTAATCGTTTTCATTTTTTCACACTACTTAATACATTTTAATACTTCAATTAAAATTACTGATATAATCATGTATATTTTACCACCATATAGAAATAAACAAACAATGTCTGTATGATATAAAATGCAATATCAATTGTTGTTGCCAACATATAGATTGGCTTTACTAAATAATACTTTCTCATCAACACACTG